TTTTCAGAATGAACATCGATTATTTCCCTAAACAGCATTAAGTACTTGCTGTTTATAATTAAGATGTGCCATAAGGCAACTGCTGAATTTTTAAATATTGTTCTTAACAGCCTTTCAAGAGTGGCTTAAAACATTACGATCGACAAAATAATGATTCCGTTTTACGCTTTAAACTGCTATTAGCGTTTCGCATCTCCAATCTGATTGCTATTTTTAACCACTTAATTTGCGTAGTAGCAGTACGATCGAGCCAGAAATGCGTAGACCATCGGCGTTTGGTAATGACACCTTTTGCTTAATAGCTTTCAGGAAAGTAGAGTCTGTAAATATCTTCTAGGTAACAGTTTGAATATTTACTTAGCTGCAAAGTCTTTAGCAAACGCGACCCAAATTACTAAGGCCATTGTTTTAAATTAGAACATAAGCGGTATTGTACGATCTTACCTTCGTATATCTGCTTTAGATATTGATCGTTTTAGTTATAAATTCCCCCGCCAGTTGTGTTCTGATATGCAGTTTTTAAACAAGTCTGATTTATGAGAGTGAACGCGTTCCTCTAATTACATCCAGAATGAAATAAAACTGCTTCGTGATGGATTTTATAAGTCTTCAATTATGCTATTGATGTTACATGCAGAATTTTCCGTGTTGAACTGTTCCATACATTGACTTCTGTATTTTATAGTCGTAATGTACTCGTTGATTATACTTTGTTAGTAGTTATGTCATAAACATAAAAAGCAGATAAGCTTCTTTAAGTGCAATATTGACTCAAAGTGTATTTTAACAGGTGTTTGTAGTGAGAAGAAGGAATGCTTGCTAGTTTGTGTCTCCTCTCCAAATACCTGCTTCCCTAACCTCACATTTGTCCGTCCGTTACAACTTACGCTGATAATACGCTATACAGATCAGTAGTAGCATAAACACACGTAATTATCGTCATTCTTTAGCTATTTTGGACGTAATGTCTACAAAGGAAGTGTTTAACGAACGATGGATATCAACGTTTAATCAAAGGATGAAAATGCGAAACACAAAACTATTACGAAAACTGACTTTATGATCGATTTTAAGACGAAGATTTGCAAGGGTGGGGCTGGACGTAGAAAGTTGACTGACCAAGAACAGTTGGTCTCTGAACAGCGATGTAATAACTTAAATATCAGACCTATTTAACAGAAGAGCAGAAGAAAAACACTGGTAAACGAAGTGTCAAATATCAACAGAAATTGATAGACGAAAGGAGCGGTTTGCGTTAGTTTTAATAAAAATTGCAAACAAATTATTTTAACGCTTAATTGTAATTACACGTTTATTTTAGGAAACCTAATCGGTAATCGATAGCGTAACAAACCCTATATTAGTGTGGGCGTTTCATTAGACTTATTCTGTAAATATAATATACGCATTGAATTTGGTACCCCCGCAAAGAAAAATCAATTCAAAGGAATGTGTGTATGTCAAAACAATTCTTCGTATTGTTTATATTTATGAGAAACCTAGTCTCTTACCCTAAGGGGAGAACGCGGATTTAGGGTTATAGTTTTTAAACGACACTTTTATAAGCTGCAATGGCTATTTAACGTTCAATGCTATTAACTTGTTTTGACTGGGGAGTAAGTAGGCATGGCCTGTTTCAAGGGACTGTGACGATATTTGAACCTGGCGTCTCAGAAATAGAAGTTACCGCGTTATTGCTCGAGCAAACTTCCTCGGTGCCAGTTGTTTTTTAACGATGAAGTTATCAGTGAGCAGTTCTCGTCTAAACTGGTTTTAATAACTGCTAGAGAACTCAGAACTTTCAGTAGCAGAGGCCCGCTGCAAAGTATTCTTCGTGTGGCAAATAAGCACTGTGAAGCCTACAACATTTCCGTCGTACAGTCGCCATATTTATGCGAACAATCAGAGACGCGCCTAATCAGTATGAACCAGTTGATCTTTGTAATGGAGACAGGTAGTGTTTTCTTTACGGTAAGAACTGGATTTTTAAATACTACGTAGATGAACTTCGAGCTTTATAGGGTCATATCAATTCTTTACTGAATGTTGTGGTTAATGTAATTTGTAGTAAATTGACGTTCTAGAGGGTTTAATTTCATGTTAGTTTAGAAGATCATGTTTAGGGCAGTCTTCCCCCCAAAACCGAAAATTTAAATCTCGAAATTGTTATATTCCTTCGAAGAACAATAGAGTAAAGTTTTAGTACGTTAAGTCCTGTGCCTTTCTAGTTTATAATTTTGATTACGGTACGTCACAATATTCATTGAAACTCCATACAGAATATCAACTACTTCACCAAATAGTTTTGGTCCGGTAGGCATAAGAAATTACGCACTGCTGCTCATTCAGAGTTCTGGCATAGTTGTTTGATAAGTAGAACTCACCAGTCGTAGTGTTGTGAACACTTGGGTGACTTTCTACGTGAACACGCCTATATTTCCACATACAAATTAATAACGTGGAAAAAGCTATTTCGACTCACGCTTAAAACAATATAATTAAATACGTACAAAGCTAGATAATTAAAATAATTAAAATATCATTCTGTGTTCCATATCGAATAATCTATTTACAATTGGAACAGTTACAACATGTTTCGGTTTTATTAAACCATCATCAGGTGTAAAATTATATTAAATTTAAAACTCAATTACAATTTTTTACAAATTTTCGTAGTGTAGTGTTTTGGAGGTCGTGTCCAGATATTTTCATATGAATTGTAAAAAATTGTAATTGAGTTTTAAATTTAATATAATTTTACACCTGATGATGGTTTAATAAAACCGAAACATGTTGTAACTGTTCCAATTGTAAATCGATTATTCGATATGGAACACAGAATGATATTTTAATTATTTTAATTATCTTATTTTAAATACATTGTGATTTGACGGAATAACCAAATAATTTAATTTTAATTTAATAAATCACAATATGACGCAACTACACTATCTTATCTTAAAGCTAATAATAATGAACACAATTAAATAAAAACATTAAAATATATATATAACAAAATATTACTAATTGTTATTAGAACTATTTAAAATATAATGCGTAATTAAATAAAATATAGGCCTAAATATTAGATGCAGAGATCTAAGACGTAGGACTGCACTAGAAATAGTTTTGCACGATTAGCTTACTGCGAAACTAACTAAAGTTCCACCACTCTTAAATTCTCCAGTTATACATCAGAATATGTCCACTAAACGACACTCTTCCATCGACAGAGACAAAAAGTTATATGCCTATATTATTCTCTTTTTTCCAATAATTTATACAATCCGCATAACAGATTGTGTTTAGGCTTCATCTCGCTGTGTAGCTCACGCCCTGAGACACGTATCTCATTGTAAGACGTATTGCCTGGGCTCAAAATATCTCGCGGAGTGGTCTGTCTGTGAAGACCTACCCTTTGTTTATGTTCTCACTATTAATTATCATAATTTCATCTTCCTCGACATTCTAGAAATGTTTTTGGCCTAGGCACTTATCTGTCTTTGTTGATTTCTGAGCCTTGAGCCTTGTTACCTGCACAATTTCTACTGATAGCTTCAGTCCATACTCATGCAGTTTTAAAGACGTGGCCCATTTTCCTTCATAAATGTGTACGCCCTATTAAAACAATTGAGGGATGCCACGCGTTTTACAAACTTTAACGTATTCATGTCACTGTGAAAGACTTTAGCAAAATATATATGCCTCTTTTTCAATTAATTTCGGAAAATGTTCATTCACGTGTATTCATAAACCTCTATTCCATTAAATACTTAAAATCACTTTAAAATAATTTTAATATAATCCATTAACAGATATATAACTGCGTTTAATCGAAACATATTTTTCTGATAAATTAAAAACAGCATAGAGACGCCAATTAGGATCTCACACGTAGTTACAAAAGAATAAAACTGCTTCATAAATATGGAAAATTAAAAAATTGAATTTCAAATCGCGATTAATGATTGCGATGCAATTCCATTAGATTTTGTGCTCTCTGCCCTGAGGACCACACCACGAATTTATACCAAGACGATTTTATTCCGTTGCATTTAACGTATTATAATCGGTTTTATTTTAACAGATACTATTCGACTTGATCTTCAGTGAGGATGGAGACAGTATGTCTCTCCCCAAAACTTCGGCGTTTTTACCGCCCCGAGAACTTGAGATCTCTTTATTCGACTTGTTCTGAAATGACTATACGGGATTAAACAGACGTAACATTCAACTTGGCACAGAAAATGCTGCTGAATACTTCGTAATGAGATTTAAATAATTATTACTTTAAAACTAATGGACTTAAACTGCATAACTACTTCATTTAATGAAGTTGTGTCCCTAATTTTTTTCTAATGATAGTACATCTTGACATCGTTATAAAATAATCAGAAGAGTTAATATTTATGGAATTGGCTAGTTAGGGCTGTTCAATTTAGTCTTTGTCTCGTCGAAAACTACGCATTTTGCAAAAACGACTAGAAACTTTCCTGCGAATGCAGACACTTTGCATCGGCCGACTTCTCCACCCCCGGCCCCTCTCCTGCGAGTGTGTGTGCGTCGTTCTTTCAGCGTCCCCATCGTGAGGATCGCGAGACGTGGCGGGCTCGTCTGTCTCATTCCCGTCCCTGTATTTCAGCGGGCCAGAAGCCAGTATATACCTGCCTACTCAGCCGAACGAGGTGACCTACAGACTGCAGGAGCAATGGACGGAGCTTGTCTTGTTGAGGCCTCGTTCTGA